GTTTGAACAATATACAGTTTGGAGTGTTTTTTTTTAATATTTTGAAAGTGAATAATTATAATATATGTTTACTATATATTTTTAATTTAAAAATAATTTCAATACATTATATTTTTAAAATCATTTAAACAAAATTCTATCACATAATTTTATTTAATTATATTATTCAACCGCTATAATGCTACCAATCATGTTTATATTTGAAATGTTCTCTGTTTTCCAACTGTCTTATCTAACCACTGTTTTTAACTGCTTTATTTTAAACAACTCTGTGTATAACTGCTCAAAAATTTTTAACTGTTCCGTTCAAACGTGGTCACCAATCGGATCCGAATCGTTGTCTTTGTCAAACTAAATCCAAGTGAAAAACGTGCGTCAGCTTTGTAGGCAGACATGAGTCATGGTCGGGAAAACGCATATAGAACATTTTCGGGAAAAAACCAAAAGAAAAATTATTATAAAAATTATAATTTTTTTTTGTAAGACTAAAAAAAAATAAATCAGTGCCTTAACTAACAACGAAATATATTTTTTCCCTAATATTTACTGTACGTGTGAAAATGTGTACATACACAGGAAAAATCGTACATCTACTCCTATATTTTTATAAACTTTGATGATTGATGGCCAAAGCACATGTCACAATTTTTAAGTGTGGAAGATTAGTCTCGTAGTCATACATTTCCTAAAATCCAAGAAAAATTAATTAATAAAGTTAATCTCTTAAAATAACTCCATGCTTAGCCATCTCTATTATATTTTTAAAAATTACTTGTTGCGGATAAATTAGGTCTACTCATGTTTCTGGAAGACTTCCAAAACTCATCGGATCAAGCTATAACACACATCTCCATTACTAACCAAAAAATGAACTTGTAAATCTCTCTGTTACGCGCAAAAACAATTGGTGATGAGATGAATCATACATTCAGAACGAAAGACATCGTTACGCCAACTAATTAAGCACATTTGTTCTATGAAAATTTGATACATCGACATGGCTCATGTGAAAGATTGATATATAAGTGAATAGATTACCCATCTTACAACCCGATTTTTGAATACTATAGGGACAAAACTTATAAATATAACACTAGATGTGAGATTTTAAACGTTTTTCCTCGACTATCTTTGTCTTCTTTTTTTTTTTCTTAAACTGATTTTCACCTTAAAATCTATCATATAACTCTAGTCAACCTAAAATCCTTCCAACTAAAAAAGACTTACAAATATAACTGATTGTTTCTC